AATGACTACTGTTAAACTCTCATTTTACTACTGACGATCTTAATCGTAAACTTGAGCAGCCAGAATTTCAGGTCTCTTGTATATAGAAAATCCCCCTATAAAAGCATAATAAACCATAACACAGTAGAGCTAACTTATGGGAGCATACGCAACCCTGAAACATATGTAAAAGGGATGATATTAGACTTTGAAGAAATGTCGAACTGAGTGTATCGTCAGACGCTCTGAGACACCCTAAACTCCTGCGTTACCACATTTAGAATGTTAGAGGAAACTGGGACCTAATCCTCGCGATCAAGTAGTCAAGCGAAACATTATAAGTAGGCGAATAAGTGAGAACATCTATTTTTCATAATTTCGTTTTGGGAGTCTCCAAACACGGGTCTGATACTCCCTCTCCCTCTTCCCCTCAGTTTGAGGACTCCTGTGTCCTTATAATTAAGAGAGGGTGTTAGGCAACAATAAGGGCAGAACCATTACGAATTGCGGCGGCAGATCGCCACATCCCGATCGACGGCCCTCTCTCACACTGCGATTATTTACCCATAAGCTGCGCAAACACTTTATTCTATTTCAGACGTCCTTCGATGAGAACAACGTCCCAAGTGGATTGAAGAGTGGATTTGTATTCTTGGTTTATAAGCCGACTGCTGACTGGATTGTGCCTCTTGACGTCCAGCCAGTCACACAAATGGACCGTGCGAAATAATAGAATCACTACATTGCGTTTTATATCTGGGAGGAAACAGCATATGGCACATTGTCAGCGGGACGTTCAATAAAGCCCACCTTCCTTCACCGGCTTTATTACCTCGCTGGCGATATGGAGAAAGGTCGCAGGTAAGGGCTACTAGTATGTGCAGTACTCCTTGACTGCAGGAAATCATTTTATCTCATACTACATGAAGAGGTGGAAAACGTTTGGAAAGAAGACTATTCACTTACGAAAAATGAAGTCTCCGAGGTGCACGCATGGTACAATAAAGGACAGTTGGTTGACTTTCAGTTCGTTATTGAGGACGACTGCTGACTTTTACTGCCCTCTCAGAAGAAAGGCAACCACTTACGACCCAATGTGGATAAATTCAGAGCTGCTGACCTCTTTTTTATAAAATAAATCATTTTTCGGAACGCTGCAGACTAACTGGCATTGTAGAGTACTTACGGGTATATGAACACTGTCAGAAGATTTGTAAAAGTGACCCCAGTAGACTTCGAGGAAAATTCTAACTTAAAGTATTACTGAGTTCGTTGGGACACCCCAAAATCTTATATCGCCACATACGTAACGCAAAAAGAAATCTGAACTTGATCCCAGCCCTTTTTTCAGATGGAACACTGGAGACTGATGATCAAAGTAGAGCCTCCAATCTTTATCATTTCTTTCAGTCGGTCTTCATTCCCGTCTTATCCTCCTCCTCCTCCTCCTTTTTCGCCCGTTTACTAATTAAGCTGTCCTTCCTTTCCTCAATAGAAGAACTGTGCCTCTTGTTGGGATTATTTCGGACGAAACTATTTCAGCTGAAACCTGCCAAATGACCTGGTCTGGGCCGAATACAGGCATTTTCAAATCGAGAACTCGTTAACGAACTGTGCAACTATTATCTATTATATTCCAGGCGTTTTTAAAGAAGACGAGGTCCCGGAAGCATGGACGAGTGAACATGTCGCTCTGATCGATACGAGATAATTGCAAATGGACTCCGAATATTGCCGCCATGTCGACTTAGCATGCAACTCAGCTTTTTAATCTCCTTAGAACATGATCATTAACTTGGAATAAATGGGTTTACCAGCACGCTCCTCCTTCCCCAGAGTTCTTTTAGGTACTCTGATTTCGAACTTCCCGTTTTCTAATTTCCGAGAGAATTAGCCGCATCTCTTGTAAAATAATGGAGCGAATTATCAAAGGACATACAGTATATGAAATAAAATAAAATTTTATGCAGTGTCCAGCAGGGCTTCCGTCGAGGACGATTTTACCTTTTGAGTTTCCTTTACTTGCAAGGGAAATAAACAAAAGTCACAGACAGTACTCACTAGACGCTATGTTTTTGTGTCCAAGATGACTTTCGACGACACACCATGCTGGCTTCTTTTACAGTTTATTAGGTTAATAGGGATTCCAGGCAGAATGTTTGAATGGATCGAGAATTTCCCGTTTCCCTTGGAATGGGTACTTTGAAGGGGGCGTACCGCAAGGTAAATTTTTACGTACAGTGCCCTATTTGATCGACATAGATGACAGAACCAGGTGGTGGATTGTTTACCTGTCATGTTGGTCGTTCATATAGAAATATGAGGTGAATTCGGCTGTGCTAAAGACGCGGAGCAAACGCCATTAGCCATCGACAAGGTGGGTTGTTGGTCGAACGAGTGGCTTTTAAAATGTAATGTGTCTGAATGTGTGGTTCCACATCCGGGCGCCGGCCGAAGAGTCTCTCTATAAACGGGACTATATTAAAAGATGTGAATGAGCCCACAAATCTGGGCATGTGGACGAACGCGAATCTGATGCAATCAGAAATTGTAAGAAGGTGGTCCGGAAGGCAACCGGCAAGTTGCACTGCTGTACACGTACAGTAGGTGGGCTAACTAATGAAATGTCAACCGAAATTCCGAAATGCGTTTAAATTTCAAAAAGATTTATTGAGTACGGATGTAAAACTAATCATTGTGCGGCATAACTCTATAATAAGTCATTTACCCCAGAATGCCGGCTTTCAAACGAACTCTTTTCCGGATGCATGCAGAACCTATACTCTGGTAAAAATAAATACCTAAGTAGCATGTAGTTTCACATTGACTATCGATTTCCTTAAAAATTCAACTATATTTCATAGAGAACACGCATAAAAATATTCGTTCTTGTGCTCATTCGGTGGCAAATTACGTCTTCTTCCAATTTTACACTTGAAGAAAGGGTATAACTCGGTTTTCAAAAACTTTTCAA